ATTAAATAAAATGACAAAAATCCTTGCTGCTAGGGAAGTTAAGTAAAAATAAACAGCAATGCGTGGACAGTATATGGTAATGAAGAATACCCTTCATGGTGTGATTAATATGAAGACAGCTGAAGGGCCAGAGGCTCCAGAGAGGGGTTGCTGGGGGACAGTGATAGACAGATGCTGGTTAGGACTGCTAGTGCAGTCCTATGAATAACTAACTAAATAAGTACTTGAAGGGAGGAACACTTAGCAATGGTTATATGTGAGGCAGTAGTGAATGCAGAGTGATCACTCGGTACAGAGGGCCTACAGAGAAGGATGTCTGGTGTGTTGACAAAAGGGAAACGGTGCTACAATAGCACGTGCCAGAAAAGAGTCCTCAAAGTGAATCTAAAAGAAGTTTGTCTTCTCTTGTGTGGCAGTGGCTGCCTGGTTCTTCTTTGGATGGCTCCTACTACATGTTTATATCTTAGTATTAAAGGATGAAATGCAACTTTACCGTTGATGTGCTTCTCGCTGTCAAAAAACATGAAGTGTTCCAAGCTGAACATGGAGTACATGACTTTAATCCCAGCACTCAGGAGGCAGAGGCAGATGGGTCTCTCTGAGTTCTAGGTCAGCATGGTCTACTCAGAGAGTTAAAAGGCAACCAGAGCTGCATATTGTCTTCAATCTCCTTGTCCTTCAAAGATGTAGCATTCCAGGATATGCAGTGATAGAATAAAGGCATCTCTGTGTCTCAGTGGAAACAAGTCACATGACTTGGAATGACTATACTCTAACCAAGAGTCAGGGGCTATCGGATAAAACTCCAGAAAAAATGACCTGTATTCCTTGATTAAAAGTTGACCTTGCTTTTCTGCCACTGGGAAAATATAGAAACAAAAATATAAAAAATACAAGCATAAATTCCATCTTAGTCCCTGACAAGCTGAAGGTAAAAGAGATAAAAACATTTACTAGATTAGAACAGGTGTTAAAAACAGTCATTACAGAAATATGCTCCAGAAATAACAAATCCACCAATTAGCTGTTTCTGTGGATCCACATATAGGTAGATAAGTAGACAACTTTCTATCTTGATAAGCAAGAAACTTTATAGCATTTATTGTGAATCTTGAGAATGACTAATTGGCATCAAGTTCCTTTGACCCTGAGGAGTTAGGTATTGAATGTCTGTGTAAGGCATCACAAATCACCGGGGACAAGATCAAGTACTTACGGTTGGGTTACTAATATTTGCTTTTCTTTTGGAGTCTGAAGTTTAATACAATCTCCCTCTCCAGCAGGGGAATAGGGCATCTTGGATGCATGAGACTGGAATGAATGAAAAGATGATCAGACAATCATGTATCACACAATTTAAGAGAATTTTAAAGCAGGGTCTTGAGGCTTGCCATCAATACCAGTAAGGAGCACTCAGGACTGGACAGTTGAATCAAAGAAAGAAGTCAGGATAAAAAAATATTGCCTGGCTTTGTAAGGGCTACAATTTTATTCCTGCTGGCACCTAGCTAAGAGAGAGTCAATTGTGGTGAAACCCTGTATCTTTAGGGTCCCACTGCTTCTCAAAAAGAGTGTCATCTTTTCTTATTGTGCTTCTTATATTCCAGGAACAAAACCAGGAGCATTTTCTCATCTTTAGGTTTGAAATGACTGTGAAATCCTCCTTGAATGGAGGTGGGCTTCTTTCATGAGGGGTCATGGAGGGGACATTCCTACTTCCACTGACCACTTCTTTGTAACTTGGAGTTTTATAGGCCCATATATTCGAGAACTCTTGGCTGTAATGTCCTGGATGACCATAATAACAATTGGAAAATATTCTTAACTGAAGGCTGGATTAGCTAACTTTGACTGAACTGGTGGTCACCAGATGGAGCTCTCATGTTCCCAGAGATGGACTGGGAGAATGCAAGTGTCACAGTCATCTACCAAGTTTGCCTCCTGTCTTTTTCTCCTACCTTCTCTTTCTGCCCCTCTGGATCTTAGACTCTCTTCTCAGCTATTAAAGATGCCAGAGGCTACAATTAATAAAATGGAGGTAGGATGTTGGGATAGTTGGCTTAGAGTTTGAAGCTGAATCTGATATCTGAAAGGGCCTGGATTATAAAGCATACAGCCATGAGTTTAAACTTCCTGTGTCTCATGATTCTGGTGAGCATGTTTGCTCAGAGTTTTACATATCCTAGATTCAAAGGGTGCATTGTAGAATATTAATTTAAGATGTGTTGCATCCATTTATACTGTGGAATGTTTATTTAATGATGAAAAGTTGTATTGCATACTTTTATGTTGCATTTGCTTAACTCTGTAAAGCTGTCACTTTGCCTTCCTAAAAGACCTGATTGATCTAATAAAAAGATAAATGGTCAATAAGTAGGTGGAAGAAAGGATAGGCAGGCTTGGCATGCAGGGAGAATAAGTAGGAGGAGAAATCTAAGATAGAGAAGAAGAAGAAAAGGAGGGAAGAGTGAAAAGGGTAGAAAGCAAGGAAAATGCCAGGAGAATGCCAGGGGCCAGCCACCCAGGCAACTAGGTACCCAGCCCAGAATAAGCCATGGAGTAAGAAGGAAATAAAGGTATATAGAATAAAGAAAGGTAAAAAGCCCAGAAGCAAAATATAGTTAAAGAGAAATGGGATAAATTAAGTTAGAAAATCTGCCTAGAAATAAGCCAAGCTAGTGTTGACCTTCAGAAGTAAGACTAAGTCTCCATGTATTTGTTGGGCCCCCAAAGATTTTTTTTAAAGCATGGTTTTTGGAAGATTAGTGATTACTGTGTTATCTCCCACACTTACCTGTTTATCCCATTATCCAGTGCTCAACCCATACTTCAATAAGAAAACATTTCCCTAACTTCTAATACCATGGATTAGAATCACCTATTAGTGACCTTTATTGGTGAGTGAAAGTCTAGAAGATGATCCATATTGAGTCTGCTTTCTTTCACTCAAAATTGTGTTTGTAAACTGAAGATTCTAAGGTGTTCTAAGACACAGACATGGCAAATGGTAATAACTCTGAGTTGGTTGTTGCACATTATAATGTGTATCAAATTACCTACTACCCATAAATATGTAGAAGCAACTTGTTGTTTTATAAATTCCATTTGAGCTTAAAACTTTTGATAAGTTTTAAAATGGAAAATATTTTTTGTTCAAGCAAGAATTTATGCGAACACACATGAAATGCTTAAACAAATCAGGCTAACTGCCAAAAATTAATGAGGAATTAGTTATTTAAATAATGAATGGTATCTCCTTTGGAAAATATTTTCTTAACCAAATAAATTCTATTGACAACACACTGGTATTAAAAATGTGAAGAATCAAGTATTGGTGAAAATTATTGTTTGGATAATGATAAAGACACAACCAATGTGAATGTTATTTATTGAATATCTGCTAAAATATGAAACTTTGACACAGAAATTACAGTAGCAGAGGTTTATAATGGAGATATTCTCCATGCTACACAAGACTGTGTAAAGTATCACTCACTCCAGGTTTTGCGTAATTGTAAATTCTATAATAAGCCTAAATACCCATTGCAATATGATTGGCCAAGTACATTTTGCAACATCTCTTACTAGCAATGATTAAAGATGTTCCAAAAAGTATAAACCTCCTTTATGTCTGGACAAGAAACAGTCTTCGATGTCTAAATATTGAAAAGCAAAACTGAGGGTGCTGGTTCACACCAGAAATCCTAACATTAAGGAGTCCCAGGGTGAGAGCATCTCCACCAATTTTAAGCTAGCCTTTTCTACATGAGTTCCAGGCCAACCACAACTAGATAGTGAGGCATCATATAAAAACCAAACCACCCTTAAAATAGAAAAATCTATACTGCACTTTATGCATTTGTAACATTTGCTTTATAAGTAGAATGTCTTTCCATATGATATCCTTAGGATGATATCTAAAATCTAATTGAGTCTGACAAGTGGTTCTTGAAACATAAGAAAGACAATAATAAATGGTTTTACAGTTCAATTTTGCTTTCTTTTATATCTTATGCAATACAAACACATCACTATTTATGGAAATAAATTTTCTTAGATGAATAGAAGAAATAAATACAAAGCTTTACAAACAAAATAAGTGTTTCATGTTTTTCCATTCACTGTTTTTTTGCCATTTTAAAATATATATGTACTTCTTAAGTTTATTTCATTTACTGTCTAAAAATCTTTGCTTTATCCTTGATTAAAGAGAATAAGGCTTCCTAAATCATGTAGAGTTTACTGATTTGTGTAAAATACTCTAAGTTATTGAGTTTTATTTTACTAATAGACATTAAGGAATAAAAACAGAAAAACTGTGATTTTTACCGACTCTTTGAATTAACAAGGCAGGTAAAGTTCTTTTCACAAATGTAATGGAAATATCTACTACACACACCATTGCTGAGGAACACTGGCTTGAGGTATCCACAATCTGCAGATGCTGAATGTGTTTCACGGAAATACCTGTGTCAAAAAATGTTTATTTAAGACAAATCACTCGTTAAGCATAACTTTTATTATCAGTTCAGTCGGTACCACTGAGATAAAGCTGCTAAGTGATAAAGCCTAGTATGGGGATGTAGAGTCCTTTTTTTAATGGAGGGGTTAGGGAGATGGCCCACCAATTAACAGCACTTTCTGCTCTTCCAGAGGACTGTTTCAATTCCCAGAACCCACATGACTGCTTACAATGATCTGTAACTCCAGTTCTAGGGAATCCAATGTCCTCTTCTGGACTCTGAGTGCATCAGGCATGCACAAGGTGAACAAACATATGTGAAACATGCATATGCATTTTAAAAATAATAAAATAACAAATAGAAAAAATAAGAAACATGGAAAGAAATGCTTCTTTGTTCTGGTATAAACTAGGTCTGAATTTTTCAATGAGATTCTGTGCATGAAAATCTATAGCAATGAACTAACGACATGATCTAATTCACTGTGATCTTCTGTTATACTGAATCAGTTGTTAAGGAAGTTTATGAAATAAAACCTTACAAGTCTGAAGAAAGTGCTCTGTCCTTCTGATTCACCCACTGGAATTGATTTCCATTTTTATGTAATCCAACCCAATAGCTGTAATTCAATCGTGACTGAATAAAGTTCTGTAGAAAAAAATTAGAATTTTTAGTATTCCTTATGGTATCAATATCATATAAGACATTGTACTTGAGGTTCAAAATCAAGATAAACTAAATCTATAATTCCTCAGTATCAAAAGACATTTTATAAAATATGTTCAAACAAGCCTCAGATTTGGAGATGCTTGTACTTATTGAAAAGACAAAGATATCTTGTAAGTCAATGAAGAAATTCATCTAATAGGAAAAAAGAGGAAAAAACCCAAGTACTTATATTTCATGTAAAGAAAGAATTTATAGGTCAGTAAATGTAGACATACCAATGGCAATCAAAATATTTATATTAAAGCTGTAACAAGATATTTTCCAATTAACCCCCTTATGTGAGATGTGAATAATGACAAGAGTCCCATGGATAATGAAATCAGATGGATGTATTTGCTATTGTTATTGATACCATATTGAAGAAGGTTAGGGAAGTTTTAAACTTTTTACATGCCCTACTATGCAACTTTACTCCTACAGTTATGTGTGAAAAAGAGAAGATACATTGAACAGTATTGCACAGAGTACAAGTTTGAGGGTATTAATACAAAATAAAACTACTATGACTGATAAAGAACAAAAAGCTGCATCCATGTCATGATGTCTTATGCCACATGAAACTTAAGAAACTATAGAAAGCCTTAATTAAGTTGCATTTATAATAAGAAAATTAATAAACTTGCATTTTCCTTATGTGTAAATGTAGATCACAGAATCTGAAGATTTTATGTACTAAAATAATGAGTTTAAATGTATTAGTTATGGTTTTTCTTATACATGCCAATATGAGGCAGTGAATTTTGTTGCTAAAAGCAATACATTTTATATATCCTCCTCTCCTCCCTGTGCCTCTGTCTTTCTGTGTATATATCTGTCTCTCTCTATCTCCATGTGTCCATTTCTATATCTGTATCTCTCTCTCTCTCTTACACACACACACACACACACACACAGAGAGAGAGAGAGAGGGGGGGGGGGAGAGAGATTCCACAGTCTCTGTTATCATGCCGTTTAGTTAATATATACAAAAATGCAATACATGAAAAATGCATGGATATTATAGAAACATATTTTAGTATACAGTTTGTATCTCTAAAATCACATAAGTTACATATGTGCCAATAATTTCATTCATTTATGTACATCTTCTAGGAGTAAAAAATAGACATAGACCCCACTACTGTCCTCCTTTCTAGGCTGTCACCACCCCATCTCTCTTCTCTGGAACTTCTATGGCAATGCTGCTACTGGGTTGGGCCCACTCCTTCCTCACCCCTAGCCAACCAATATTCTTTCTTCCTTTACTAGGACCTTGCCACTATATTACCACAAGGTCATACCTCTTTCCTCTCCCATAGACTGCCCAATGTCCCTTCCTCCATTTCCAGAAGTATGACACTGTGCCTCCAGGGATGGCCATCTCTTTTCTCTTTAAAGTCAAGATCTTACATGCACTCAACAAGACTCCATACTGTTGCTTCTGTCAGATATAGGGACCCTGTTTCCTGCTCCCTAGACTATTCAGAATCCTGCTTGCCTTCACAAGGTCCCAAGCAAACTGCACCAAAGGCTCCTCTGGCAAAGTCTAATTTAAAAGTTTCCCAAATCTACAATAATGAAGAAAATAATAGTTATATACAGAAGATAGAAAGATGGATCAGTGGTTAAGACTACTTGCTGCTCTTGCAAAGGACCCAAGTTTGATTCTGAGCACATGCATTTGGTGGCTAACAAACACCTCTAAGCCCAACTACAGGAGATCTGATATCTCTTTTGATCTCCATAAGTACTAACATGTACACACACACACACACCTAAAATAAATCTTTGGAATACATTTATTTAAAATTAAAGAATTATACACAAATTATGCAAATGTTTACAAAGTAAAACAGTATTCCAATTTATAAAGAACTCATTTACAACAATAGAGATTCAAAATGTGAAAGGTATTTATAAATTATAAATTAGTCTTTGTATTTCCTTGTCTACCCCCTCTATTTATTTATGAAATATCTATCTTAATAAAATAATTATATATTAGTAAGTGTAATGGTGTTTTATGCATCCTCGATAAGATACTATTAGAAACAGCATTTCTAAAAGTAAATACGAAAATGGAATCTAGTGCCTAATTTGAATTGTTGAAAATAAATCTACAGAATATGCTAGAGTGACCTCTTTCTTCTTAAACTTTGGAAAAAATAGCAAGTGTCATATACGAACAACAGAGAAACTCCTGTTATTCTTAGTTATGAGTCAAATAAAATTTATTTCTGAGAAATGATCCTAACATATTTCTTTTATTTATTTGCCCTTTATTTTAAATCCTATTTCTCCAGTGTCAAATGACAGAGACTCATGTTTCATCCAAGAAGTACATTTCTTCCAGATTCTGATAATAGAAGAACAGAACTCAAAAATAATTATTTGTTTTGGTCACTTGTATCAAAGAGGTGAACAAAACTCAAGGGTAGCTTTTCATTAACAATAAATAGTCTGTTCTAGCTAAACTCTGAAAATGCAATGTAAGTAAAGTGGTTGAGAATTATCCCATGATTGCCCACACCAGGGTTATTTCTCAAGATATAAAAATGATCATCTGGATATTTTTAATGTCTTTGCCCTTTTCTTTCCAGGTAAATATGTGCCAAAGTACACAAGTGTTTCTGTTTAGCAGGCAAAGAACAGTAGAAGGAACATAAATGATTATCACAGCTCAAGACATCAGGACTTCTCAAGAAAGACTCAAGCAACACACTCCACACACCTGCTCTTCTCTGTTGTCAATCTTAGCCAGGTGAGAACCCAGGCGTCTGCAGGATGCTTCACTGTCCTCCCATGTCTTTTCTTCTTCTGAAAAGTAGTAACAATTTTCTCCACAACAGGACCATTTTCCATGACATGGATGGTAGCCTTTTCCTGAAAATAAAAGCACCCATTATCCTCAGACCCATTTCAAGACATGGACTTTTGGTGTTTCATCATTTGTTCTATATTTCACTCCAAAGAGTAATTGCTTTCACTAAAAATAGGTCTTCTGCCAAACTTTATAGTAAAGAATGTTGTGAATACAGAAACTGACTCTGACAGATCTAAGGATTTTGTGAGGGCTGCACTGACAGATCTTGACTTCTCAAGGAGAAAGACACCAGCATTAAGCATTTCTATCTGCAAGACGAGATCCATAAGAATGAACATTGGGAGTGACATTAATCTAAAAGGCTCTACATTGGGCAAATACACCCACAGTACAGAATCATATAAAATCCTCAGTAAACTCAAGGTGAAAACCAACAGCAACTTCTTTGGTGAAAGCCAAAAGTTTAATTAACAGTAACAAAAATGATGGATTCAGTTTGGAGAGGTGAACAAAACTCAAATCCTGACAAAGTTCAATGTAAAGTTTTAAGATTAAAATATGAAGTGGGACAGAAATGTAAATACCATTAAAATATGTCAATTTTCAGCACAAGTTTTGATGCATACCCATAACGAACGGGTGTAAAGTTGAAGGACCCGTTACTTCCATTGAGGAGACTGTATTTGCATTTGCATCTTTCCCATATTGAAATTTGAAGTTAGAAGTGCTCTGCAAAACTAAATCCATACTATGAGATTAGAACCACACTTAGTGATAACTGATCACATAACAACCATTCAATTGTAACTGTAAATAGTAGATGGTATTAATTAAATTACAGCAAGAAAATATAAAATATTTTGAAGTGCTAGAAAGTAAATATATTTTAAAATGCAGATATTTATAACTTGCGACACACTATGTTTAAAGTGCTTATAACATTTTTAAAACAAAAAGTCAAGTGAAAAAAATGTATAAACTGATTATATGTCCTGTATCTACAAATAACGCTTTGACATTTATTATTCCATTTAATGCTTACATGTGTAGTTTGAAGGACCTGACTTTATATTTTAATTTATAATGGACTTATTGAATATGGATTACAAAAAGTAAACTAAAAATCTCTGCTTGGACTTATAATCTTGGGGATGGTGAGATAGCTCAGTGGTTAAGAGCATGTTCTACTCTTGTGGAGAACCCAAATTTTGTTCCTGGCCCTCATATCAGATAGCTCACAACTCTCTGAAACTAGCTGTGGCAGAATTAAGGCCCTCCCTTTATTCCACTGCCTCTGCACTTGTATGCATCCCCCCCCCCGCCCCCGGCACATATACAAATAACTTAAAAAGTAGTAAGTCTTTTAAAGAAAGAATCAACTTGAAGACCTTCCTGATCCCTCATGTGCTCCTCTCCCCTCCCCTTCTCTCCTCCTATTTTCTCCTAAGGTTAAGTTGGGGGAAGAACAGAGAAGGAGAGCAAAGATTGAGGGAGCCAATATGGGCTCAACAAGAAACCTGGCACCAGGGAAATTGCCAGGAATCCACAAGGATGACCCCAACTAAGAATCTAAGCAATAGTGGAAAGGCTGCCTTAAATGCCCTTCCCCAGTAATAGGGTTGATGACTACCTTAAATGCCATCCTAGAGACTTCACCCAGTAGCTGATGGGAGCAGAAGCAGAGATTCACTGCTAAGCCCTGAGCTGAACTCCTGAAATCCAGTTGTAGAGAGGGAGGAGTGATGAGCAAAAGGGTCAAGACCAAGCTGGGGAAACCCACAGAAACAGCTGACCTGGGCAAGTGAGAGGATACAGATTCCAGACGGACAGCTGGGGAACCTGAGTAAGACCAAACTAGGCCCCTTGAACATGGGTGTGAGTTGGGGGCTTGGACAGTCTATGGGGCCACTGGCAGTGGAACCAGTATTTCCCTAGTACAGGAATGGGCTTTGGGAGCCCATTCCCTATGGAGGAATACTCTCAGCCTAGATACACGGGGGAGGGCCTAGGTTTTGCACCAAATGATGTGACAGCCTTTGATGATTCCCCCATGGTGCTCACACCCTCCCTGAGGAGTGGATAAGTGTCTGGCATGGGGAAATGGTGGGGGGTTGGGGAGGAAAGGAGGGAGAGGGAATTGGGATTGGTATATAAAATAAGATTGTTTTTAATTTAAATAAAAACTAAAAAAAAAGAAGGACTCAAGATGTCTTCCAAAAACTCATGAACTAACAATGTAAGAGTATGAAGCAAGCAACTTATTTTCTCATTTATAATTCTTTTCTTTCCATGGTTATTTAGAAAAATTCATTTTTGGTAACTTTTTGTATTGAACTTTTTTTGTTTATTTAGTTACTCTATGTAATGTTTGTCCTAACTGTCACTAGAATCTTACTCATTACATGTATCTATTTACATATTATTCCCTTGGTTCAATTTACAGTTACTTTTAGAGTCTTATTATTAAAATTGTTCTGACTTCGTTGCTTTAAAGCTATGATCTTATAAAAATGCATCATAGCATGGAAAAATGACCACTTTTTTCACTTTGCATTGTCATGATAATATTCATCCACATTGTTATATATTCCTGTAGTTGAGTTTTTGACTACCAAAAAATTGTATTTTGTGACTCCATCTAAGAGATGATGTAAATCTACATACTTTCAACACTTGTTTAACCATAGTTTAAATAATACAATTTTCTAGACTCAGTGATTAACAGTCTTCACAAATTTCAGCCATTGCAACCTAGTTTGGGTCATATGATCATTTACCAAATCTACACCCGCAAGAAGTTTTAGTGGTCTTCCTCTTGATCAAAGTTCTGTCTGTTTATAGTTTATAGTTTATAGTTTATAGTTTCACTTCAGCATTGGCTATTCTTAATACACTGTTCCTGATGCCAGATGGCTGTGTTTCCACTAATCAGATATCCATTTGTTTCACCCTCAATCATACTTGCCTGTTTTTATGTTGATTTACCCTAAGTATCATCTTCCTGACCTCTTGTCTTCCAACACGGCAAAAACTGCCCACTGGTTTTGAAAGGTTTCTGTATAATCTGCCTTCCATCTCCTTTTTGTCATGTTCTCAAGTAATTTGCGTGTTAATTGAATGTAATTAAACACATTTTATATCCCTAATCTAGATATCTGCCTTGAGCTCATATGTGTGCTGATACTCTGAATCTATTACCAACCACAAACTGTGAAAAAATAACTCAACCTAAACTTTGTGGTTATGCCTATTGTTGTGCCACATACTCCTGTATAACCCCCCTCTCTCTTCTCAGGAACACACACACACACACACACACACACACACACACACACACACAAATACGTGAGTCTGACATAAAATGGGATGACTGATGCCTTTTTGTTCCTCCCCTTCTCAGCTGAATACAAGCTCTAGCAGTTCTGTATCTCACCCATTCCTCCTGTGTTTCCCTGTATGATGTCATGACTTCTATCATGACGCTAACCTAGACAAACATGGACACTTATGAAATAAGTCTCCTACACATGCATGCTCAATTCTAGTTTGCTGAGCCATTCCTTCCAAAGGTCTTACCTGTCCATATAACTTGAATCATGTGCCTCTTCACTTTCCATCACCAGATAGTTATTTTTATTTCATTTTTCTTTTATGTGAACTATAAACTTGCCTGGCATGGTATAAAAACATTTATAAATTAGCATTATCTGTCCAAACTTATATCTAGCTTAGTCTTTCACTACACCACAACTGTCTGTGAGTCTCTAAATCTGTTCCTTTCTCATGCTCCCTACTCAAAGTAGATGAGTTTTCTCTATGAGTGGCCTAATTCTTACTTTCTCTTATTTAACCTTGATTACTGTCTCAACCAAGAAGGCTTCTTGACATCAGGATGTTATGTGTCACCCATATAACACAGCATCATGCCCTTATTGCATTCATTTTATTTTAAAAAAACACTCCAATATATATATTCAACTCATTAAAATATTTTCCTTCTTAATTTTTTTCTATTTTTTATTTAAATTAGAAATAAGCTTGTTTTACATGTTAATCACAGTTCCTTCTCTCTACCTAACCCTCTATCCCATCCCCTTTCTGTTCCCCAGGGAAGATGAGGTCTTCCATGGGGGATCATAAAAGTCTGTCATATCATTTGGAGCAAGACCTAGGCCCTCCCCATGTGTCTAGGCAGAGAGAGTATCCCTCTATGTGGAATGAGCTCTTAAAGTCCATTCGTATGCTAGGGATAAATACTGATGTGCTACCAGAGGCCCCATAGATTGCCTAGGCCTTCTCACTGACACTCACATTGAGAGGATCTGGATGAGTCCTATGCCGGTTTCCAAGCTATCAGTCTGGGGTCCAAAAGCACTCCCTTGTTCAGGTCAGCTGTTTCTGCGAGTTTCTCCAGCCTGGTCTAGACCTCTTTGCTCATCACTCTTCCCTCTCTGCAACTGGACTCCAGGAGTTCAGTTCAGTGTTTAGCTGTGGGTGTCTGCTTCTGCTTCCATCAGCTACTTCATGAAGGCTCTCAGATGGCATATAAGATAGACATCAATCTCATTATTGGGGAAGGGCATTTAAGGTAGCCTCTCCACTATTGCTAAGACAGTTAGTTGGTGTCATCCTTGTAGACCTCTGGACATTTTCCTAGCCCAAATTTTTCTTTAAACCTATAAACCTCCCTCTATTATGGTGTCTCTTATCTTGCTCTCCCCTATTCTTCTCCCCCGACTTAAACTTCCTGCTCCCTCATGTCCTCCTCTGCCCTCCTCTTTTCTCCTTCTCTTTCTCCTAGCACCATCATCCCTAACCCCAGTGCTCTCAATTTGTTCAGGAGATCTTGTTCCTTTCTCCTTCTAGAAGAGCTAATACCAATACTCCTCAAATTTTTCCATGCCATGGAAGCAGAGGTTCATTGACAAACTCTTTTCACAATGCTACAATTACCTTGGTACCCAAGCCACACAAAGACACAACTGAGAAAGAGAACTACAGAGAGTTCCCCTCATGAACACTGATACAAAAATATTCAATAAAATAGTGGCAAATTGAATCCAAGAACACATCAGAGAAGTCATCCACCATGATCAAGTAGGCTTCATCCCAGGGATACAGGGAGGTTCAACATATCTATCTATCAATACATCTATCAATGTAATCCACCATATAAATAAACTGAACAAAAAAAACCCATATAATCATCTCACTAGATGCTGAAAAAGCCTTCTACAAGATCCAACACTCGTTCATAATAAAGGTCCTGGAGAGATCAGGAATAACAGGAACATACCTGAACATAATAAAAACAATCTACAGTAAGTGAACAGCCAACATCAAACTAAATGGAGAGAAACTCAAAGATATTCCTCTAAAATAAAGAACAAGAAGACAAGGCTCTCTACTCTTTCCATATCTCTTCAATATTGTACTTGAAGTGCTAGCTAGAGCAATAAGACAACAAAATGAGATCAAGGGGATACAAATTAGAAAGGAAGAAGTCAAACTTTTACCATTTGCAGAAGATATGATAGTTTACATAAGTGACCTGAAAAACTCTACCGTGGAACTCTTACTGCTGATAAACACCTTCAGCAAAGTGGCAGGATACAAGATTAACTCAAAAAATCAGTAGCCCTACTATATATAGACAATAAATACACTGAGAAAGAAATCAGAGAAACATCACCTTTTATAATAGCCACAAGCAACATAAAATATCTTGGGGTAACACTAGCCAAACAAGTGAAAGTCCTGTATAGCAAGAACTTTGAGTCTTTAAAAAAGATACCAGAAAATGGAAAGATCTCCCATGCTCTTGGATAGGTAGGATCAACATAGTATAAATGGCAATCATGCCAAGAGCAATCTACAGATTCAATGTAATCGCCATCAAAATCCTAGCACAATTTTTCATAGACCTTGAAAGAACAATAGTCAACTTTATATGGAAAAAAGTCCCAGGATAGCCAAAACCACCCTGTACAATAAATGAACTTCCAGAGTTATCACCATCCCTGACTTGAAGCTCTATTATAATGCCATAGTTCTGAAAACAGCTTGGTATTGGCACAAAATTAGACAAGTAGACCAAAGAAATCAAATGGAAAACCCTGATATTAATCCATACACCTACAAACACCTAAATTTTGACAAAGAAGCTAAAATTATACAATGGGTAAAAGAAAGCATCTTCAACAAATGGTTCTGGCATAATTGGATGCTGGCATGTAGAAGACTGCAGATAGATCCATGTCTATCGCCATGCATAAAACTTAAGTCCAAATGGATCAAACACCTCAGCATAAATCCAGCCACACTGAACTTCTTAGAAGAGAAAATAAGAAGTACCCTTGAATTAATTGGTACAGGAGACTGCTTCCTGAATATAACACCAGTAGCACAAACACTGAGATTGACAATTAAAAATAGGACCTCCTGAAACTGAGAAGGTTCTGTAAGGGAAAGCATACAGTCAGCAAGACAAAGCAGTCTACAGAATGGGAAAAGATATTCACCAACCCCACATCTGACAGAGGACTGATCTCCAAAATTTACAAAGAACTCAAGAAGCTAGTCTCCAAAACACCAAATAATCCAATTAAAAAGTGGGGTACAGAACTAAATAGACAATTCTCAGTAGGAATCTAAAATGGCTGATGGACACTCAAGAAAGTGCTCAACATCCTTAGCCATCAGAGAAATGCAAATCAAAACAACTTTGAGATACCATCTTATTCTTGTCAAAATGGCTAAAATAAAAAACACCAATGATAGCTTAAGCTGGAGAGGATGTGGAGAAAGGGGTACACTCCTTCACTGCTGGTGGGAGTGCCAACTTGTACAGCCACTTTGGAAATCAGTATGGTGCTTCCTCGGGAAAATGGGAATCAGTCTACCACAAGATCCAGCAATTTCACTCTTAGGCATATACCCAAAAGAAGCACATTCATACAACAAGAACAGCTGTTCAACTATGTTCTTAGCAGGATTATTTGTAATAGCCAGAACCTGGAAGCAACCTAGATGCCCTTCAACTGAAGAATGGATGGAGAAAATGTGGTACATTTACACAATGGAGTACTACTCAGCTGAAAAAAGTGGAATCTTGAATTTTGCAGGCAAATGGATGGAATGAGAAGAAACCATTCTGAGCAAGGTAACTCAGTCACAAAAAGACAAACATGATCTGTACTCACTCATATGTGGATTTTAGACATAGAGTAAAGGATTACCAGCCTACAATCCACACCGCCAGAGAAGCTAGGAAACAAGGAGGAACCTCTTCAAATATCTGAGCTCTTGATGCCATACATTTTTTGACCCATGGGACATAACCAAATTGCTTATTGAATCAATTAATTTAATTTAATCCAAAATGTTTTTAAGCAAATAGAAAAATGATACTGATCAAAATTGTAGAGTGTCAGTTTTCAACTTTTTAGAGCCTGGCGTATCACTGAGGACCTGTAATTTCAACACAGGGAGGGGAAAGCAGGGGGACAAGCAGTGAACAAACTTCTTCAGCCAGGTGTGACAGCCAAGCCTTCAATCCTAGCACTGGGGCAGGAGGGTCAGAGGCAGGTGGATCTCAGTCCATTCCAGTCTATCTAGGCTTATAGAACAGGACCTGTATTAACAATGAAATTAACCAAGTAAACAATAAAACTCACTGATTAGAGATGTATCAAAACTGTCAAGGCCAGCCTGGTCTACTGAGTGAGTTCCAAGAAGCCTCCAAAGCTACAGAGAAATTCTGTCTCAGAAAACCAAAACAACAACAAAAAAGGATCAAAGCTGATAAATGGAGTTGTATTCATAGAGCAAAGCGGGTATGCTTCTTCTCCTTTGTGGTTCCAGCAGTATTGCAGGAAGCTAAGAACTTGAAGTGCACATGCATAGAACACTTATTAAGTAGCTTGCCCATTGGCCATAGTGCAATCTGCTTAATGGAGATTTTTCTTAAACATTTGTCTGACTCTTAAAAAAATTATTTTATGTGTGTGAGTATTTTGCCCAAATGTATGTATGTGTACCCTGTACATTCAGTGAGCTCAGAGGCCAGAAGATGGTGTTGAAACTAGAGATAAGGAGGGTTGTGAGCTACCATGTGGTCTGGGAACTGAAGGTAGGTCCTGCAAGAACTGTGCTCTTTACCACTGAAAGAAAAAGTGCTCTTAACCAATTAGCCATCTATCTAGCCTCTTGTATGACTCTTGAGTGTTTGGAAGGCAGCCTAAAAATATCTAATTTATAAATACAGAAAAAAGAACAATCTAACCTAAGAAGCCTGCTGAAATTTTACATAATGAAAATGCATACAGATTTCAGTTTTGTGTTTAAGTTGAAGAATACATCTAGGAGAATTTGACTCTGTGCATCTTTGTGTTTACTTCATGATATAATAATGTTTATTTTCTTTAAAAAAGAGTTTAGGAAGGAAATAGAAGTACTCTCAACTCACTGATTATACACAAACTTGTTCATAGTTATTTCACATATTAATCTGCATTGTACTTATTCATGTATATCTGCATAATTATAGAAGTATAATGTTTTATGTGTTATAAAAGCATAAATATAAGATACTAATAAAGTCTTTATCATCATCACAATTATCACTAATACCTATAATCACTAGGACGTCTAGGAACCTCAAGGCTCACAAATGTTCAGCAGGTGTAATGTTGCTTATACCTCATTGTTACCATAAAATATATATATATCATACTCACACAAATATCCCAAGACTGCATTTGACATCAGAAGACAAAGACATACTGTTCCCAGGACCACAGCAGTCATACGCCATGGGGAGTCTTCATAAGATCATAAGACAAGATACATAACAAACATAGGAAGACCTCATAATTAGAGAAGAATGGACACTTATGCTTGAGGTTAAAATTAATATCAGTCCACCCATTGGTTATTTATCCAGAAATGTATTTTAAATAATAGAAATAGTCAAATACATAGCTGTAACGTGAACGTTTCTGGCCCAGCTAGGCACCGCTGCTTCAGCCCCAAATGATCACACAGATGCTGTATTAAACATGAAGTTGTTGGCTGTTTGCTATGGTTTCTAATTGGCTAGCTATGACTTAATTATTAACCCCATAACTGCTAATCTGAGTATTTCCACGTGGTCTTCTCTTACCAGGGAAAGGGTCCGGACCTCTTACTCCTCTCTAGATCTACATGGTGACTGACAGTGCCTCCATTTCCCAGAATCCTCCACCTCTCCTAGTCCCACCTACCTTGCTTCCCTATTGGCCAACAGTGCTTTATTCATCAACCAATAAGACAAACATATACACAGAAGACAATTCCCCATCATGTAACATATATAGTATCAAATATTTGTGAATATAATTATGAGCTTGTTTTTTATATTTGATATTGTGTTTTCAACACACATGCACACAAGGCAAAAACAATGTTACCTTTGTTTATCTTAACTAGCTGGGTTTTTTCCTCCTTCCTCCTAAGGGATAATGTCAGCTCAGCATATCTACTTCTTTCCTCGCTCATTTCTGACGACTGCAAGCAGGAGCAGAGCAAAATCCTTACCAGTGTTTCATAGGGTATAATTAATCCAGTTAATAATGGGAACATGTATCATGAAGCAATAGAGAGTTGAATAACAGGAGGAATGATCTGGAAAATGTGAATTTCTCCATGAATCTAAATGATGTTTTAAAATGTTTTCTCTGTGACACTTTAGAACAGAAATTTAGCATAACTAAGTAATGGTCTGTGACAGGTATCAAATATGTTCCCTTAAGCTATCTGACAGCTTAATTCTATTGGTTGCTAAAATTTAGAAATATCCAGATAGTGGGATTTACATATTTTGTTGAAAAATATATCTGATCACTAAATGCCTGAATTAGCCTCAGTGGCAACAATAGTAGACTTTGTATAAGAGTCACTTTTAGCAAAGGCACACTCTTATATAAATTCTATTAATGTATTATATCAAACCACCTTTTGTTTTCCTATTTTGTTAATATTGTACTCACAGGACTTTATGGTTCTTGTCTTACTGTATGAGAAAAATAAGTAAATCATGCCACCTACAGCAAAGCAGACAACAGAACCGCTCCAACTCTAATTCTGAAACAAACATAGTGATGGCAGTTCTTGCCCTGCTTTATATACGGGAAACTTAACCCCAATGAATCGAAATAGTATTGCCTAAATAAGACAGAAGACAGCCAATTATTGACATTCTTGTTTTTATAGATACATACATAAATTCTAAAACATTCTTCTTCTATATTTAACTCATGTAAGTCACATGTCTGAAAATGGATAAAATGAGCTTCCTTCCCCAGAAATCAAGGGAAGAATCTGATCTGAATCAACAGAAAGAAATCTCTTCTGAGTTAATTAGTACTAATAAAAAAACCACATATATCCCTTCTTTCCAAACAGGAGCAGGCATTGATGATGATGATGATGATGATGATGATGATGATGATGATGATGACAGATGAGTCTAAAACCAGGTTATCAGAGCTAGAAGTACATGCCTGAAACTCCAGAGTTCTAGAGGAAGAGCCACAATGGTTCAAAGAGAAATAGGAATGTGCTGATCTTTTGAGCTACAATTTCTTATAACCTTACCTACTAAACAAATAAGCTCAATTAAGACATAGATTTTTACCTTAAGGAGATTACAGGTTAAGGATAATAGTTTCTGGGGATTTGGCTGGGTGGTAAGAACTTGCCTAGCATTTGAAAGCTGTGCTTGATCCCCAGAACTGGGAGAAAGAAAAGCAGTAAAAAAAAACCATAAGTCCCATGAGAAGTACTTAAATTTTGTTTCAATGCATCTCATAAAAGTCACGTTTAGGTTACTGTTTGTAATGGAGAAATATTCTTATTGGAAGGAAAGAGTATGAAATTAAAACCATATATATGACAATAGGAAAGCAAATTCATAAAACAAAGTAAAAGAAGCAGAATACACAAAATGTTGGTTTATAAAATGTACACTTGGGGAGCTTTTCATTATATCTATCTGCTCTATTTCCATGTTTTGTTACTTGAACATATACAAATGTTACTTTGTTGTATTTGATGAATCTTCCCACATAGTCTCAAAAAATTTAGGTGCATTTCTACGTAACTAATTCAAAATAACACAGCGAGGAAATATGGGATATTGAGTGATTTAAGCATATAAAGCATCTTTCCCCAAACAAAAGCTTCTGGTGATTCTGAGGACAGAGTCAGAAAACCGTTCATGAGAAAGCACAACTTTTGAATTCTTAAAATACATTCCTAGCTAACCATGTGAGGTTTTTTTTTTGTAAACATAGTGAGATATTATTAGAATGTCTACAAAGACAGTATTTTCCAAAATATCTGTTAAGTTATTAATCTGCAGTTTACATAGTGAATATTTTTAAATACACTCTTATTTCACCTCTGGGATGAGTGGGCAGGCTCAGTTCAGTTCTCCCCTGCAACAATCCAAAGCCCTCTGAACTTTCTACTCAGCTTTCTATGGCATCTTCTTCACCCCTCCGCTCCATACAGCATAAGAGCACAGACCCAGATCCACACTCACAGCCTCTGATGTCATCTGGGTTTTTTTTTTTTTTTTTCCGGTTTTCACCAGCTGGAAGGCAGGCTTGGTCTGGTTGCTATCTGAGACCTATGAAGAGCTGTTACTAGCTCGTTACCTCCACACTGACATTGGGAGGGGCCTGTTAATAGGTATCACTGACTCTGGGGGCTGGTAGTGGAGGACAGTCTATGATGTCACACCACGTTCTTATATCAACAAGTTCCACTGAAGTCAGGATCACATTTTCCATTAATTACTGTGTCAGTTTAGAGGAACAAACACACACACAAAACCCTACTAAACCTGTAAATGTCAGGAAACATTTGTTTACAGAAAACTTGAATTTCGAGAGTTTGAGAAAGGTATAATTGTGGAAGAAGATGACCGTGGGAAATAGTTAACAACTAAATTTTACAAATGATCGAAACTAAAGATAGAGGTGTAAAACTGTTTTCTTTCTGGAGTGGTTTATAGAATTGAAAAAAAAATCTGCAAACGTTTTTTAATTGTAGTAAAAAACGTAAACACTAAAGAGTATGGAAGATCTAGCCAGTACTTCCTATTCTCCTGAGCACGTCCATAGTATTGAATTAGTTAAAATAAATAGATACCAGTGCAGATAATAGCGGGTTAGTGCCAAATACTAACAATACACAGAATTAATTAGGAAAAGTATTTTAGAGATTTCTAGCTTCTTTTAAGGCAGATCTGCCTTTGGCTTCATCTATTTTTTGTTTGTGTGTTCGTTTGCTTGTGTTGTCCCCCTCCCCCATGTATAAGAACTAACTGATACTTTTCTCTCTCTTTTTTTTTGTTGTTTTTGAACTTTTATTTTTTTCCCAACTTTTTTTTATTTGAATTAGGAACAGGATTGTTTTAC